ACTACATGAGCAATAAAATTTTGACTTTATAATTAATTTATGGTTAATTTCAATCGTTTCTATTCAAATAAGATAGTAGCCTTTATCAGTGATGAAATTTGCCATTTTTTCCTCTTTACTGACCAATTTTCTCGTGACATTGTCATAACAATGTCAAAAGTTAAACCAAATGTAAATTCTAATACAAATTCAGGGCCAACTCATGGATGAAGTCATTGGACAAAATATCAAGGATGTCATCTTGTGTGACTTTTCAGACAATAAAACTTTATTTACATTAACAAGTTACAACCCTTCATTCATGAGAAAACCAGTTTATAAGAAGGGTGCATCCTGACCTGCCAGAAAACTACTAAATATCTAGAGAAGAAAGGTGTCTAATGAACTTTATAGTCCTGCTTCAGAAAAGGGAAAGGGAATTACATCACTTAATGGCTACCCAAACCATTATAAAGCTACTTTAATAAAAGTAGGAGGACACTGATATGAAACAGACACATCAACAGACAAGAATAGGCCCTAGAAGTAGACATAAATATGCCTGAGAGTTGCAATCACTGGGAAAAGATGTATAATATTCATTATATGTATACAAAATACACACAATAATGGAGTTGAGATACTTGATGTACCATACATGAGAAAATAGCATTTTATTCATTTCCAAAATTAAATTCTAAAAATATTAAGGGACTAAATATAAAATGAAGAAAACTATTAAGATAGTGAAAGAAATTTTAGGAAAACACTTGAATATCAGAATAGTAAATACTAGTAATAAATTGAAGTAATAGTAAATAATTGAATATATTTTAAAGAAACTATTCATATTCTCAAGTATGGAAAAAAGCTGGTTAAATAAAAGTGTATAATTTCTATGTAAGGTAAAGCAAAGAAATGCAATCTAAGAAAAAATATGATACATATAGGACAATGGCTTAATATCTCTAATACATTAAGAGCTCTTACAAATTAATAGAAAATGGCAAATGTGAATAGTCAATTCACAGCAGCAGAAAGGCAAAGGGTCAGTAAACATAAGATATTTGACATCAGTATTAGTTAGGAGAAAAGTAAAATCTGGATAGCACTTGGGCTGGGGGAGGAACAGTGTTCCTACCAGGTTGATATAATCAGTCCTAACATTCACTTCGGATGAAACTTTGGCATAACAGTTACTCTTGAATACTAGGGATGTTCTATAGATTGCTTTAGTGCAAAAAAAAAAAAAAAACCCTGCTAGAATTTATTAAAATGTAAAAGTACATACTTTACCTAACATTTCAGTTCTGGATAGTTACCTGATAGAAATAAAAATACAAATATAGGCAGGCTATGGTAGCCCAGTCCTGTAATCCCAGCTTCTGGGGAGGTTGAAGCAATATTGCCAAGATTGGGCAGATTAGTGAGACCCTATCTCAAAATTAGCTTTAAAAACTTCTCTCTCTCTTTTATTGGTTGTACAAATCAGTAGGTTTCTTTTTGGCCCATTCATACATGCACATAACATGTATTTGAAGGAAAGCAGAAAGTGCTGCAGATGACCCTGAGGGAAGTAGGAAAATTCAGCTACTCTGATAGACTCTAAAACCAAGGGAAAGCAGGGCCTCTACTTATGAGGGGAGGCCAGAAGCGCCCATAAGAGCCCACAGAGGAAGCAGCTGTGGTAAGCCAGCTCAGGCAGAGCTTCAGGCAGCCTCGCAGAAGTTATCACGGCCTAACTACCAGACCCTTCCACCATGGGCTGACAGTACAGACAGGTATCTGAGACCAGTGGCCAAAGCCCAGACAAAGATGTTCCGGTATCAGCATCACTATGACTACCAAGGACCAGATGCTGCTCCCCGCTCCTATGCAATTCCTTGGCTCTGTGTAGACCTTCTGAGATGTAGGAACAACCACAGGGAAAAGGAACATATTCCAAATGAACTGAGCCTGAGTCTTCCCCTAAGTGCAGTTAAAGAAAAGTTATATTTCCTCCTCCTCAAAGCTACAGATTCATACCAGCCATGTGGATTTTATATACTCGTATATATGGATAATTTAAAAACTGTTAAAAGAAGCTGCCTGCCCTGTCCTTGGGGGCGGGGGTTGTACAGTTGGAACAGGAAAGATGATAAGTTTTACTTTCACCTCTTCTGTACTGTTTAATTTGTTAAAATAAATAGGCACAGCCATTATGGTAATTGAATAAAATAGTATAAATTGCAAAGACAAAAAAGGCAGGTTCAAACCATTTTGTACTACATGGTAAAAGTCAAGACACAAAACACTTCCTTTGAGCAAATTATTAGTATCTCCAAACCTCAATTTATTAATTTATGATATAACGATATTGAGTTAAGTCATTGATAAACTCCTTTCCTTCTTGAAAATTCTCTTAAAGTAGTGAGTTTTCTGATTTTGTAATGTACAAGTAGGTACAGTAATGTAGAGTCATTTTTGTGAGGGAACTGGAATAAGTTTACTTATTCTTCAGATTCTCTTAATTTAATGTTCTAGAGTTAATGACTACAAGAAGTACGGTAGAAAAAAATAGAATTGTTCCAAGAAATGGGGACTTGGTTATCAGTCTTTGTCTGCCAATCACTTTTTGGATGACCTTTAGCAAGACATGTTAAACCATTTTGGTTAGATAAAACCTCTATAGCAGGTGCTCCCAACTTGGCTGAACATGAGAATTGGTTGGAGATCTTTAAAAAAAATACACATTCCATACTCATAACAGAAATGTAGCCAAACGTTCACAGAAGTGCTCATTGTAATTACACAAGACTGGAGACAACTTGTATGTCAATTAAGAGTAGAACGGATAGAGAAAACATTGGTGTGTTCATATGATTGTATACTATAGATTAGGGGTTGGTAAAGTGAGTTCGATTCCTGGTACCGGGAAAAAAAAAAGAGGATTAGAATTTGCCATCCTTACAGTCTCCAGTTAAACTCTGCCATTGAGCCAGGTGTGCTGGGGCCTCACTAATCTCAACACTGAGGAAGCTGAGGCAGGAGGATCACAAATTCAAGGCCAGGGTAGTCTGCATAGAGAGTTCAAGGCTAGCCTGGACTACCTAGATCCTGTCTCAAAGCCGAATAAACAGCAACAGCAACAACAAAAAGAAACATCCCCCCCAAAAGTACAACTCCACTATTATAGTATGAAAGCTGCTGTAGAAAATGCTAAAACAAATTAGCCTCAAGATGTTGCTGTAAAACTTTATTTATAAAGTAGCAGCCTGACCCCTTCCTACAGAACAATGAAAACAAAAGATAACTACCTACAATAACATGAGTGAGTTCGCACTCGTACTATCGAGGGAGAGAAGCGAGACATGAAAGAACACCCTGTGTGATTACGTTTGTATACTATTTAGAATGGTCAAAAAAGTAAGCTTTCGAAAATTAGTAAAATTAATACTTTGTACACTTGCAGGATTTGTAATTTTTTCCTAACGTGAGGCTTATTTCAATGAAAAGGTTTTTTAAGGCAATAACGTTTCGGGGTCTCACTCTATAGAATGTAAGGTAGGGGGTCAGTGGCGTGACCTGAGGATCTGTCTTGGTGCAGCTTGAGGTAAGTGACGGGCAATGTCACATTTTTGGCAGAGCTGAGGCAGAGCCATTCTTACCATGTTGGGCACAGGGTGAGTAAACCCTGCAGAAATGGAGAACAGGGGACCCATCCCTGAGAACTGAAACTTAGCTCAGGGAAGCCAGGGTCATATTCAGCCTCGAGTGATATTTGCACCTGAATATTCTCATTCATTTCTGCCACCTGGATGGCACCCAGTTCAGAGCTTGGCAGATTGCTGGAGGAGCTGGGAAGCCGCCAAAGGGCTGTCGGAACTCAGCGTGGGCTCAGAGGTCAGCTCTGAGAGTGGAAGGTCTCAGCATTCTCTCCAGCTCCCTGACTATCTTATTGGAGAGCGCTGTGACATAGCAGACCTGCCCCAATTTGGGGTTAAATCACACATTCTGGTTTTGCAAACTGCTTGACAATTACTGCAGCTTACTCAACCCTAATTTTTCTCATGTATAAAGTAGGTCTAAAGTCTTCTTGAATCTTCTCTTCTCACAGGCAAAGACTCATTTCGCTTTCTCCCTTCTTCTCTTTTCAGTCTTTATTGAGCCAACCTTTATGCGCCAAGTTCTGTTAAACATTTTGCAAGTGTTGTCTCCTTTAACCCTTGTCAACAAGAAAGATTCATTTATGATCTTTGTTTAATATTGAAGAAGATAAGTATCAGAGAATTTAAAGTGACCTGACCAAGGCCACATATGCAATAAAAATTGGAAGCAATTTCCCACCGAGGAAGTCTGGGTGCCTGAGCTCTTGACCACTGCTTGTGAAACTGAAAATATCTGGCAGTAGTGAGTGTGTCTGTTCACAGATGGAATTTAATAGAGGTTAATTCTGTACTTCTCTTCAAAGATCTGTGTATGGGAACTGAGGCCATGCACTTTGGGCTGGAGATGTGACTCAGAGGTAGAGCACTTGCCTTGCATGCATGGGGCTCTGGGTTGGATCCCTAACACTACACAAAACAACAAAAATCTACCCACATTCCACTAGCCTGATAAACCACCTCTTCAGCAGCGTAATAAAGGCACTGGATTAGTTAAGCATTTATCCAAGGCTGAATTAATTTATACTCACTATAATCCTGAATACTTGCCTCAAACAGAAAATAATTTAAAAGTATTTCTGTTCTAAATTATTACAAAAAATTCATATTTTTTTTATCATCTGGAAAGCTTTTTTGACTCAAACTTTTTACTAATTCTTTTGGCATTTTATTTTTTTCTCTTTTAAATGTATAAAACATAGATGTTAAATTATTTACTAGTTAAACATCTCTCTACATGCACACATATATATGAGGGCATATACACACACGTGCACACATACATATACATATACACCACATCCCCCCTTGTAGCTCTAATCCATCCCTTTGCTAACTACATAGTCCCAAAGATATCCTTAAAAGAGCATTCTCAACTTACGTGGGAAAGCAGAGGTTTTATTTGATTTATTCAGATCTCTGTAACAATGTTTTTTGGTACTTTATCAGTCTATAGGACATGGAAGCTTAGACACAGAAGTTTTCTCCTGATCTGATATGAATCCCCAAGTTCATGCAGAACCAAATCAGCTACTCCAACTTTAACAATCCATACACTCTGACATCTTGCCATTTTAACAGATAATGCTGGATTTTCTACAAATTGAAAAATGGTGATGGTTATATGGTTATTGGTGATAGTGCTGATAAAATACACCTCCTTCTTTATATCACATTCTTTCTTATAAACGAAAATAATGCATCAGATTTGGGAATCAGTTGACTAACAAGTCTATTTGGAAGTCATCAATGATAAATTCACAGAATAAACTAACAACTGATTTTTTATTGCTTTTTTTCCTATTATGTGCTCACATGTAAAACTCCATTAATATTTCAGCAACAGTGAGTTTTTTGGAAGCATTTACAGAATTAAAAGTAAAGGTTAATTTTAATGAGCCAATATTTTGCTCTTGGTACAAAGATTAGCAGAAGCTGGGAGTAATATTTAAAGTCAACTGCTACAATATATGTGATACGTGTTCAAAACACTACATTGTAAAAACAAACCATAAAAATGCTGTTAATTTTGGAAGGCACATTATCCAGTAAGGTTGAAAGATTTACTGTTCCAGTAAAAGGACTTTGGAATTCTAAAACACGGAGAACTGACATTTTTATTGTTTTGCTTAGTTTGGCTTTATTCCAGGAAGTTAGGAGACACTGGGCCAGACAGTATAGATGACAAGCCATGATGTGAATGCTTCTCATCTAGAGTCAGGAAATACTCCCAACCTGCGCGTGACTGTCTGCAAAGCCTGCTCTTTGTTCTGGGTACATCCATTTGCTTCTTTGTGCTTAATTCTCCGTATTATATACAGAGGAGTAAACTGCAACTATAGGACAATATGCCTACTGAGGAACTTGCTTTTATGTTATCAAGGACCAAATGACAAAACTATCACTGATCTGTGAGGTGCTATTTGATGTAATCTGAAGGTCTTGCTATCGTAGCTTTACAAAGGGCTTTGTGGTAAAAATTTGTCAGGTCACACACACATACATATATACAGATGATTGTTCTTTAAGCAATTTCAGATTTTTAAAAAAAATACTCACTAAGCATCAATCTTAAGAGTGAATACGTTTTGGATTTTTATTTTCTTAGCTCTCTCCATTTTGGTCATGCAGATTTTGAGATTCAAGACCCCAGAGTATCTTTCTTCATCATTCTTGACAATGATTCATCCTGTTTCTTAATATGCCCACCTGGGAGCATCATGTAAATTTCTCTTGAAAGACTGGAGTTGGCGTCAGTTAAACTAT